CAAGAGCGTCTTGGAATTCTCCAGAGAAAGTTTACAACGTAACATCAAGAGTGTCTTGGAATTCTCCAGAGAAAGTTTACAACATAACATCAAGAGCGTCTTAGAATTCTCGGGAGAACGTTTACAACGTAACATCAAGAGCCTCTTGGAATTCTCCAGAGAAAGTATAAAACGTAACATCAAGAGTGTGTTTGAATTCATTAGAGAGAAGGTTTACAACCGATTGAACGTTATTGCTCACGTCAGTCACGTAGCGTCATCAAACAGCCACAACAAGCAAAAAAAGAAACAAGCCTAATTCCGAACAGAAATGCGAAGAACGAAGGTAAAATGAGCACGTCAACTGCTGTTTGCCAGCGGCGAACCCCCCGGGTTGTGGGTACATCTTTCTTTCTTCCTTCCTTCCTTCCTTTCTTTCTTTCTTTCTGTCTTTCTTTCTTTCTTTCTTTCTTTCTTATCCTGTCTGTCTATCTATCTGTCTGTCTATCTATCTATCTATCTATCTATCTATCTATCTATCGTTCTATCTATTTATCTATCTATGTATCTATCCTAATCTGATCTAATCTAATCAAATGTAATCTAATCTAATCTAATCTAATCTAATCATCTAATCTAATCTAATCTATCTAATCTATCGATTATCTATCGATTATCTATATATCTATTCTATTCTATTCTATCTTTTCTAAATTTATCTATCTTATCGATCTTATCGATCTTATCTATTTGATCTATCTGAACTATTTTATCTATCTTATCTATCTTATCTATCTTATCCATCTTATCTATCTCGTCTATCTTATCTATGTTATCTATCTTCTCTATCTTATCTATCATATCTATCATATCTATCTAATCTATCGTATCTATCTTATCTATCTTACCTACCTTATCTATATTATCTATCTAATCGATCTAATCTATCTAATCTATCTAATCTATCTAATCTATCTTATCCATCTAATCTATCTATCTAATCTATCTATCTATCCTATATATCTATCCAATCTTATCTAACCTTATCCAATCTTATCTAATTGTATCTCATCTTATCTCATCTTATCTCATCTTATCTAATCTTATCTAATCTTATCTAATCGTATCTAATCTTATCTAATTGTATCTAATCTAATCTAATCTTATCTAATTGTATCAAATCTAAACTAATTTTATCTTATCTTATCTAATCTTATCTGATCGTATCTAGACTTATCTAATCTTATCTACTCTTATATAATCTTATCTAATCGTATCTAGACTTATCTAATCGTATCTAGACTTATCTAATCGTATCTAAACTTATCTAATCGTATCTAAACTTATCTAATCTTATCTGAACTTATCTAATCTTATCAAATCTTATCTAATCGTATCTAAGCTTATCTAATCCTATCTAATACTATCTTCTTATCTAATCTTGTCTAACCTTATCTATTTTTTTCTAATCGTATCTAATCGTATCTATTCATATCTAGTTTTGTCTATCCTTATCTATTCTTATCTATTCTTATTCATTCTTATCTATTCTTATCTATGTTTATTTGTTCTTGTCTGTTCTTGTCCGTTATTATCCATCTATTTATCTATCTATCTATCTATCTATCTATCTATCTATTTATCTATCTATCTATCTACCTATCTATCTATCTATCTATCTATTCTAATCTAATCTAATCTAATCTAATCTAATCTTATCTTATCTATCTATCTATCTATCTATCTTATTATTATGTATATATATATATCCCAAAACTGTTTTATATAAAGACATCTAAAGCCATGAAAAACTGATGGTTTCACCGCACCATCTCACACGATTTCAGAGGCGTCTCAGGTTATTAAGTGACGTGCTGTGGTCCAAACTCTGTAGAAATTGTCAATGGGTTAAGGGAAAATCTACACGAAACCATGGTGTTTACCATCAAATATCCGGATTTCCTGTAAATTTCCTCATCCAATTCTATGAATTTGTACACATCTTTCTTTTCACCACAATCTAGCAAGGTGTTGTTATATCTCAGCGGTACGCCACTATGATGGACCTGATGGACCTGATGTCTACACTTGTCGTTCAACAGTGGGATATACGGTCGCTGGGGTATACCCCACGTGTTCATTGGGAATCATTGGGAAAATGGTCAGGAATCTTTGAACCATGATGGATACTGTATCCAGACTGCCACCAAGGTGACTCGCAAAACGCCTAGCGTTTTTTCGCCAGTGTCAGAGATGCCGGTTTTCGGCATGGACTGACGGTGATGGCTCAGCCAAGGATTTGTCTATGATGGTCTATGGGCATTTTGCGGATTTGTGCGGTCCATGTTCAACCCCGCCACGATTTAAAGCCTGAAATTCCATTGATTTTGGTGATGATTGGGATTGTTGGGTGAAGAGTAAAGATTTTCCAAACTGAAGATCCAGTGTTGCCTGGTGAGGGGGATACGTGAAGCATGAGACAACTGTGGATCATCATCTGAACTACACCAACCAAATAAAGACACCTTTGACTATCCATTTCCCCTGAAGTCATAGACTATCCACCAACTGCCAGAACAGTGAATGTGGGTTTCCCCCAATGACGTAACGCATCCTGGTAACGTTACCCATGCCAGGGGATACTTTACTTCATCCCAGCCAGGGGCGAACTCACCAAGAATTCCAGGCTGAGCTGGAAGAGACTTCTGCTGGGAATCCAGCTGTGGAGGCAGGGACTTTGAAGGTTTCGAAAAACGATTGGCTTAGAATATACAATGAGTGTAACTTTATAGGAATATATTTATTATACATCATTTACATTATCGTTTGCTGCATACTAGTTACACATTCCGAACAAATGATGTAAGAAAAAGAGATTGGTTTGCCAAACAAAACCGGCCTTTTTAGCAGCATATTTGATCAGGGTGATCTGCTCCAATCAGCGCTTCCAAAACTGGGAGATATCATGAGCCGCATCAGCGACTTCTCAACTTGCCGCTGGCATTTCTTCAGGGATACCCTCTGGTTATTTAACATAGCCATGGGAAATGGCCCATTTATAGATGGTTTACCTATTAAAAATGGTGATTTTCCATGGCTATGTTAAGTAACCAGATGGTACACAAAAAACACCTTCTGAACTGATAGCAGTTGAGATAGCTTTTCTGTTCATCTATGTTCATCTTACATCATTGCCATCAGACATGTCAATGTCAAGTTGCCTTGACCCTTTTTGATGTACAGCGACCACCAAGGACGACACGGCCACAGCCCCTCCGCCACCTCAGCCAGCTCACCCATCGCCCACCTCAGTTGATCCCCAGAAGTAGGAGCTTGCTGAAATAGCGACAAAAACAATGATCTATAGGGGCTAACAAATGGCTAAATATGGTTAAGTCAAACGCTTTTCCAATATATATATATATATTATATATATATATATCAGGTGAAGGTTGGATCATATCCAATGCTGATTCGAAACAGACACTTTCTTGTCATGGATAAAGATACCCTGCAATAAAAGGTCCTTGGGTGGTTCATACTTCCAGTTATGACTAAACTTCACTCATTGACCTACTCAATCAGGGTTGACCTAGCTGTTTGTCATACCAAACCATCAGCCCCAAAATTACCCTCTGGTAATTTAACATAGCTATTGAAAATGGCCATTTATAGTGGATTTACCCATTGAAAATGGTGATTTTCAATAGCTATGTTAAATTACCAGAGGGTACTGGTCTGTTCATAGGAATTCACGTGTCATGGGGCACCAAATCCCGACATCGGCGACCGATCAACATCGGCGCATCGGCGAGGCGCCGCTCCTTTGCTCATGCGGAACTCGTGGTCTGTTGCGCAAACCAGGCACCTGCATCCATCCATCACCCCCTGGGATACGCACAAAAAATGCCATGCACAAAAAAAACAACGTATATTTACATGAAGATCCCATTAATATCTCACTAATATCTCATGAATATCCCATTAGTATCCGATTATATAATATCCCATTAATATCTCATTAATATCCCATTAGTATCCCATTAATATACCATGATATACCATAAATATACCACTAGTATCCCATTAATACCCAATATTAGTTGAGAAGGAAAAACCTCAGTGGTACTTTTTACGGCGATTTTATGGCCAATGACTCTCCTGGGAAAAAAAAACTGGTGGCGATGGTCGTTTCCAGCGACTTTCCCGCTGGACACCGTTCGGAAAGTGGATGAAAGTCTGGGATAATATCAGCATGTTTTTGATAAATATTAATGATCCAACATATATATATATATACATACAATTTATATATATATTAATGATCTGATAGATATCATCATGTTTGATAAATCTGTAAACAAAAAATAACTATGAATGATCTAGTAAACGAACCATGAACATAAGTTTGATCAATGAAAACAATGGCGGTTCCCAGGATATAGTGACACCAATGGTGATATTCATATCACATTCCATAGGAAGTGTGGCCAAGGAACTGATAGCGCACCACACGGCTTGCATCTTTTCGATCGCGGAAATAGGCCTGGCGGAACCAAACCAGTGATGTGGAACTACCGAAACATCATGAATTCCCCTCATGTTTTGCTGGTCAGTAGTGATCATTCAATGGCTAATGATGGTTAATAGTGGCAAATGATACCCCTAATATCAGTGTGTTAATTCACAATTGGCGCTAGCAACCATCATTGGGAAATCTCCGCCTGTTGGTCCCCCATTCTGTTGCTTGGGCCAAATCTCCAATGTGTGCTGTCCATAGTATCTTTATATATTGAAAATCCATATTCTGTTGGCTACATGTCCCATTTTGCGGCTCTAACCATCAAGTTGCATCAGTAAAATCATTTGACTATCAGAAACGATTGACCCACGGACCCCACATGCCAGTGAAATCTTGATTTTCCAGATTAAACTCCACATGTTTCCACTGTTTTCCCACATGTTCCCACATTGAAACACCACATGGAGGTTCCCATACTCATGGCCGTACCCGAAATAAATCATCCATGGTTTTCATGTTTTTTTCCATGAAATAAACCTTCCCCCATTGAAACCCCCACGCCATTTTCTTCGCAATGCTGGCGCCACACAAAGCCCCTCACCGCTTCGACGGCGACCTTTGACGACGCGTCGCCGCGAGCCGCCAGGGCGGAGCAAACACCGGGGGCTGCGCGGCAGCCGTAGGCCACGTTGCCTAGGGATGTGGGAAATGATGGATTTATAGTAACACCCAAAATGATAGAAAAGTATAAATCATCACCATTTTGGTCGGATTTTTACTTTTCCATCTTTTTGGGGCCTGATTATAAGATGTTGGAAAATGTTACAGTACCATATGTTTGGGGGATAAAAGGTGCTCATCACCCAGAATCAGCGACTGACACATCGTTGGATGGTTCCAGATGGGTCCAGGTTTTCCAGGAAGGCCAGAAACCTTGAGGATGGTTACCAGCCATGGCAACACTGGGGATGGTTGATGAATTACCCTCTGGTAAACTAACATAGCGAACTGGAAAATTACCATCTTTGATGGGTAAATCAATGTAAATCAACTATTTCTATGGCCACTTTCAATAGCTACGTTAAATTACCAGAGGGTATTGGGTTATGACTTAAATTCAGAAAACATCGTTGCTTAATGAACATGTACTTTCCATGGAAAAAATGTTTGAAATTCATACCATTCATGTCATGCCATGTTTGCGCAAGCCAAAAGTGTCGAGTCCGCCTTTGGATCCCGAAATTCATCTGGCAAAGCCATCTTCGACAGAGTTAGAGAGTTTTTAGAGGAAGGTAACCATCCTTTCATGAAACAAACATCTGAATCTTCGTGAATGGCATGGAATTGCCATCCCATCTCAATGGCCGTCAACTCCGTGACTGAGCCACGGGTGAAGGCCACAGAAGGGCTGAGATTCAGCACGCAATGCCACCAGCCCGGTGGGATGTACAGAACATCCCCGGCCTCGGCCGAAATATGCCGAAATCGATGCACGTCGCACGAATCACGTTGTTAGTCGGTTTAGGGTTTGGTTTCTGGAGGATATAACATAATATGGATATGGAGGTGTCCATAAATGGGGTACCCCAATAGCTGGATGGTTTATAATGGAAAATCCGAAAATAAAAATGGATGATTTAGGGGTACCCCATCTCAGGAAACCTCCATATCGGTAAACCAACTTATAACTGGGGGGGCCACCTTGTATAATTTGGCATGTATCGAAATGGCAAAATCATGGGGAAGTTTCCAGCAAGCCATGTGACTGATTGCCTGAGGTTACTAGCTAATAGCAATTAGATCATAGAAATCCTTATTGAACAATAGTATTAATGCTATAGCAAGATCATGGTGTGTAACACTGGTAATAAATATGTAGTTATATTGCAATAGATTTTCCCAACAATTGGCAACTACTACTTGATGTTTTCACCCCTGAAAATATGCTCCTCAGTTGGGATCATTATACGAGGGTTGAAAATTTTGAAGATGGTTGAAGCATGTTGAAGCTGCCAACTAGATTCAAAATAGTAACATTACGTAACATTATTGATAATGGTTACATAATGTTACATATGGTAACTATAGTAATATAATATATATATATAATATATATATAATATATATATATAATATATATATATATATGTATACATATATATATAGTGGGTAACAATAGTAATAAAGGGCTTCCCAACCCTTTTTCAAAATCTCGGGCAAGTGGTTGTGGCTTTCCTGGAAATCACATGTGTTGATCCAGTTTTCACCCATCCCATGGATCATGTTTTCCTCATTTTTTGCCATTTTGGATAGTCGCTCCGACAAGTTGGGGCCTTTGTCACGAGTTCCAAGGGCAGTTGGTCCTTTCTCAGTTGTGGCAGCACCTGCGACGACTTGAAACAGGACCAGAAACCTACAGAACTTTCGCAGACTTCGGCATTTGGCAGTGTGTCAAAACCCTGGTACCTCTGTAGTTCACATCAAAATAGCTGGGATTTATGGATGTTCATCCCACTAAAAATGGTATTTTCATAGGTATTGATCCATACCCATTTCAAAACAACATCGGGCATGAATCCAATGGGGGACGAGCCTCAGAGAACCAGAAAATGGGCGCAGGGGCGGCAAAGCGCTCTGGACCCAGGTCCAACACACCTACAAACGCGCGGTAAACTTACAATAAGCCATGGAAAATGGACCATTTTATAGATGATTTACCTATGAAACTCATGTTTTACCATGGTATACCATGGTTTTCTGTGAGTTTACCGTTCTTCAATCTGAAACCGAAAATTTCAAAACCCAAACCTTAGGGGCTTCCGACTTCCAACGGCGTTTAAAAATCCAAACCGTTTCCGTGCCTTGGATGTCGTGGTGACTGAGGGGTTCTTGCGACTGTCCGACTCCCACTGTTTTCCTCCTGTTACTTGAAAATCCCCAAGGCTGTTTCTGGATATCACCAGGATTGCTTGATGAAGGATAAACAGATGATACACGACGATTTTTTCTCTGGATAAAAAAAATATATTTGAACCTAGAAGCGTAAATGTTGGGAGAATCCGTACTTATGTTTCTCCTCGCAGAACTCTCACTTTTAACTGCTTGGACATTCGCATCCTTACCAGTTAAAACTTCACATAACCTGGCCACATGTCCTTGAAAAAAGCATTCACTCTCACGTGAAAAACCTTCAAACAGATCAAACCTGAGCAATTTTCACTGGTCAGATATCAGTAAATCAATGTAACACATACATCAATCACCCATGTTCATCCATTTTCCACATGGTTTCACCATTTTCCCCATGTTTTTCCCATCATTTCTCCATCTTCCGGACAAACTCCACCTGGCGGCCGTGCTCCGGGCGGATACATCGCCCAGCGCTTGGCGCCCAGCAGCGTCACGTTCCAAGCACCACAGCCGAAGGCGTCCGTGTGGAAGCGCGAACCGCTGCCTGAGCCTAGCAACGGGAGGTGAGGAATGGAAAGTGGTACCCTCCGGTAACAGGATACCCTCTGGTTATGTCAAAATAGCTATTGAAAATGGCCATTGAAATAGTGGATTTACCCATTGAAAATGGTGATTTTCCATAGTCATGTTAGTTTACCAGAGGGTAATATTGGTTCATCATGGTGATTTCATGGTGAATCAATGGTGAATCAAGCAGCAAGAGTGGTGATTTCACAAAGCGAAACTGGTGATTTTTCATGGTGAGTTTTCTGCAACAAAAAGGCGGATTTTTCATGGTGATTTACTTGGATTGAATGGGAAATTCAATGGATTTAGCAACAAAAATGGGATGTCAACAATAAGATTTCTGCGTCGTAGGGGAGATTTTACCAACATGTTTCGGCAAATTTAGGGTGGTTTTAGGGATAACAAAAATTGGATACCCTGCTGTTTTTGATTACCAAAGGATATCAAAGTTTTGAATATCACTAGGTATCAAGGACAAGAGTCAAAAGTTGGATACCCTCTGGCAATCAAACATGGCCACTGGAAAATCCCCGAACTAGCCATGGAGGTTTAGTTCGCTGGGAAAATCATCGAACTAAATATGGATTGCGCCATTGCCCCGTTTGATTACCGGAGGATATAGGAAGAATCAATAAGATCTGTGTTTTTTGGGGGGAACTTGCCAACACTGTTGAATTTGGCGATAATTTAACAATAAATGGGGATGGCTCTAGGGATCAAAACTCTAAGTCTAGTTTGGGAATTTAGTGATGATATCCGCATTTTTTGGCTACGTTGGTTGAGAATTGTACTAACTGTTGGGCTTATGGAGAGTACATCGAACTAGCTATATACATGGGTTTATAATTTACTCAGTAACCTCGGGGGCCCTTTTCGTGAGGATGTTATTCCTAATTTATATTTAGTTGATGACCCACATATAACTGTGGATATCCCACCGAAGAATAATTACAATCATAGTGTTTTGTGACTAGATTAACTGCACCTTACCAGTAGTTTTCACGCATTTTTCTATGGTTGGATGGGAAACTAGAGTAGGCTTATGACTGGGGGAGGTTCTTGCACCAAAGCTGGTGGATTGCACTGATCGGCAACGCTGAAAATAAATAATATCCTTAAATGAACTGGTTCAAAATCAAGAATTGAAATTGGTGGTTTGCCAAACACAAATGGATTTGAACACTGGCGCATAACACATATTTCAAGATGAAAACGTGGCTGCTTAAAACTTGGAAATTTGAAATTCCAGCAGCAAAAGCCCGTACTACTTGAGGCCAGGGCGAGGTACGAAACTAGCAGGGTTGTTGTATTGTTGCAATGTCTATTGGGTCCAGCAAGCGAGAAACCCACAATGCGGCAATCGTCTCTCGGGAAACTTTTGAGCAGAAAAAGAACAAGATCCCAAATCAGAACCACTCCCCAAATGGAGGCCCTAATCTGCATTAGACCTACAAAATGCTCAAGGGAACACAACATATGGAGGAGGAGGAGGAGGAGGATGATGATGATGATGACTTGAGAACCCGCCGCAGAAGCATATTTTTTGGAACTTATATGTGTATATATATATATAAAGAAATCATCACTGGGATTACTATATCATTGCGATGATATCATCTTTCAATATACATACTCTATAGTAACTGTTGATATTAGCTACTGATATTCCCAATGATTAAGTATATGATTATGTCCCTACGATCCACCAGTGAGATTCCCATCAAACATGTCCTGCCTCCAATCAGCAGCCACCCACGCGTCACCTCCGCCACCCTTTCGGCCAGCGAGGGCACCTCCCGCGCCAGATCCGGCTGCGCGCAGAGCCGCAGCTGCCGCAGCGGGCGGAGCGCCATCGGGGGCAACGGGTCAAAGAGGTACCTGAGATGCGCCACGTGCCACACGGCGAGATGGGGATGTGAGATGGATTAGTCATGGTGAATATTGGTGAATAATGGTTATCAATGACTAATGGTTGCTAATGACTAACCATGATGTTACTAATGGTTATTACTAGAAACCAATGATTACTAATGGTTACTAATGGTTTCTAGTGGATACTAGTGGTTGACAGGGGCTATCCCTGAAAGGCGGAGCTTCCCAACCCTTCCAATACCCCACTTCGATGCTTGAAACTCCCACTGGACAGCGGTCGCAAAAATCAGGAGGATAGCTGCCGCATCTTTGCACACTTCTGGTTGTTACTTTTGACCACCTGTAGCCATTGTTGTTGTCAAGTGAAATTCATGATATATTGTATATGCCAGTGTATTCGAGTAAGGAGGTTTCCTGACATGTTACCCCCAAATCATCCAAGTCATGGATGATCATTTTAGTTTTTTGGGATCCAAACCATTTTAAGAACTACCTCCTGTGGTCATTGGCCAAGTTTTACGCCGAGGGTTGTGTAGGACCACCTCTGAAGCCATGTCAATGTGATTCTTACACCAACTACTTTCTTAACACAAGAAACTGTTGCAAGGGATCTGATTTTATATCAACTAGCTTTTACACAAACACACACACACAAACACCCTTTTTTGGGACCAACCAGGTTTCCCACGAAGAAATTTCATACGCCAACTAGCCTTTGCACCAACTAGTTCTTACAACAACTGGTTTTCACACAACCAGCTTTTACACCAAGCAACTGTTACATTAAAAATTAAACGAACTTGGGGTTTGGAAGATTTGTGTCCACCAAAATTGCTAGTTTCAGGGTTAATGTTTGGGTTGGCATAGAGTGTTTGTCTTTTGATTGGGACCGGTTTCCGAAGCTACGCCAAGCGCTTCGGAGCCTTGATTTCGGGATAGCTATAGAATGGCAACCCATGGGATTTGGAGCGGGATTTCGACGGGTTTTTCCCCACATGTTCAGACCCAAATTGCTAGCCCTATCCTTCACAAAGATTGATGTGGCTGATCTTGGCAACCATGCTGAGTATGAGAAGTATGAGATATTCACTCATCAGCTATCGACCCTTCCTAAAATAAAATGAGCATGAATCAATATGATTCAATATGATTCAGCTGTAAATATTCACCATGACTTTCAAACTTATATATATAATTGTTCACACCTTCCAAGGCAATTTTGGGTGTAGTTGCCTACTAACCATCATTTCGAGTGACGTCGCGGTGACGTTCTTATAATTTACCCAGCAGCGGCCAATGCGCATTTTCCTCGTGTCACCCCGCGTTGGGATGAACACAGTTGAGCCTGACAGTTGGTCTACTGAGTCTACTGGAAGATCTGGGAGGTTGGCAATAGAGACTTGGAATGTGTTCTTAACGGGATCTTCAATTCTTGTGGATGTCTGATATGATATTATATACAGATGTTAATGTGTATAATATAACCAAACCTTCCCAAAGTTTAGCGTTGCCAGTTTTGACCCAGGTGACCCTCACCCGCTCACAGTTCACGTCCAGAATCATCCAAGTTGGATGTTGACACTAGCGGGCCCAAGCCCTCGCACGGCGCCTAAACTGCACTGGTTGGTGCTTTCAATCCTTCGCGTCAACTGTTTTTATCACCAGAAAAAACATGAAATTCGAGGCTTTGATGCACAAAAAAACAGAGTTGAAAGCACTAACCAGCATCTATTGGGAAGTTCAACAAATTAACACCTGCAACCCTTCGCAGGGATAAACTGCTTGAAAAACTCTTGCAGGGATAAACTGCTTTTCGCAGTGATAACCTGCTGACGGCCTCACGACACGTAAAAAAACCATGCCTGGGTCTTCCAAGCTTTGGTATTCCTTGTGAAGTACAAACTTCTCCTAGAGGGCAGGGCTGTTTGAAGATGTTCTTAAATTCAGAGCATTGAGAACAACATATAATCTGATTCTTGGATGGTTATTCCTCCAAATATGGTAATATATAATCAGTTTTAACCCATCCCCATATGCAAAGTGCTCTGTCTTTTGAAACCTCAGGCTCGAAACCTCTGCAAGAATCGCCAGGGCAGCACACGCTTCTCCAAAGAAAATCGCCGCTACCTGCAAACCAAACGGGCCGCAGCCGAAGGTGGAATTTGTGTTCAGTCGCTATTTCCCTCAGCTGAGCAGTGGTCAGCCTTGGCTCACTGGCCACTGCTCACTTGGGGGTTGTTGTTGCAAGCGGGGGGTCCTTGGTGCTTTTGTACTTTGTTTGTACTGTGTTTTTTGTGGGCAGAAACTCCAATTTTTCTGCCCTCCGCTACTCCAACATGGCCAGCTGCTTCAAAAATTAAACGTACCGTAGATGATCTGCACGTGGTGGATCTGATCATGGATTTTCCGGGCTGCCATATTGTACTACCGCCGCAGGGTAACAATGGTCGACCTGAAATCCTAAAGTTTTCTCTCATGTTCATGCTTTCTCATTCCCAAAATGGTTGGCAAGCTATACCCATAGGATCCATGTATGCTATATATGGTAACATTTACCATCAATATACCCCAAATGTTAGCATATATATATATACCATACATGGATCCTATGGGATAGGGATTCTTGCTTCTCATAGGTTCCGTGCTCGGTGGCGAATTCTCCAGCATGCTATCTCCAGGAGAGGCTGCTGTCGCAGGGTGCTGTGCAGGGTACTGACACCACGGCTATCTGGAGTCTATGATCATATTCAGGATGGTTTACTATTTTACTATTAGTTTTACCAGATCAGTCTTTCCATCTTCAACACAAATCAGAGAATTACAAAGCACCAATTTTCACCCCAGCTTTGAAAGGACACTATCGAACACGGATTAGCTCAAACTTTCTCGTGGGCTTAGACCTTGTCATCCGCTCAGACGACAAAGTCTGCTCAGACAGGATCTGTTCGGACAGGATCTCAGCATGGAGCCGTTTGGAAGCCACGTTCACACAGAGTTCGTGGGGTTCTTTCCTTAGAAAACGTGGGTTGAACGTTGCAAGTCCATGGTGGGGCGTGAATGTGCCACAGGAGTCGCAGGGCAAACTCGGTCCAACCTGCCCAGCCACACCCCAAGTTGGATAATGATGTGAGGTCCAAAAAAATGTCAAAGAGGGTTGCATAAATCCCATTCGGGAGAAATCAAGAACAAAATCTTTGATTTTACCAAGAAAAATCGGGTAATACCATGCAACATGGATTGTAAAGTACTGCGTTTCAGCAAGCAGCAACTGACACTGGTCCAATGGTTCCCATGGTTAACCCATCCCAAAATGGAATATCAATATGATAGGGAACATCCAAAAACAGTTCATCCCATGCTTACTACACTCCCGTGATTTTTCGAAACAAGATTAAGAATTGGTTGTATCCATGTCGTATAAGTGTTTCAATTTATCTGAAACCAGAGCGGATTTCAACGCAATCCCAGTTGTCTATCATGGACGGGTTTCTCAATCTTGTCCGCGTACATCTCCATCCTCATCAAGTGCCTCTCATGCATACCGCCTTGGCCCATTTCGGGGCTGCACCCCAAATGCTGCCAGAAAATCAGGTTGGACCCAGCACTAAGCAAATGTTCAAGATGAAAGTATCATACCTTCTAAAACAGCTTTTGGTTGTTTTGTTTTCAATTGCTGGGTGCGTTTCCAATGAATCCCGGCCAAGGAGCGATTTGGTGGGCACGGCACACCAGGAATGGGCGTCGCAGTCCAGGAACGAAGAGTCAACTGTTTTCCAACCTCGTCTCCTGAAGTTGGGTGAACATCAAGTTGAAAACTATGGGTTGAAAACGCATTATGCAATTTACAATAAATGAAATGTACCTGGAATATATACATAAAAATATGGAATGTATGTCGAATATATTTGGCATATGTGCCAAGTATATATGTGTGTGTGTATATATATATATATATATATATGTATGGAATAGTTGCGAAATAAAATATACATTATATTATATATATATATGTGGAATGCATTAGTGTATTTATTTTTATATACATATGGACTGCGTATGTAATGGGGTGCAAAGGGAATTATATATATATGTATGTATGTATATCGAATTTGTGGAATAGAAATGCATATAATATATTATTTATATTCCACATATACATGAATAAATATATATATATATATGGAATGTAAAGGGAATACACGCGGAATATATATATATACATAGTTTATTTCAAACTTTAGCCTCTTAACCTGTGGGCCTTGTGGACCATGGAGGGAACTATGGAAGGGACTATGGAAGAAACCAGGGCAATAAGGATATCTTATAGAAGGTGATGTTAGAAACCATGTCAAGGGAAAATTAGCAAGCTTTTGAAGAAGTAAAGAAACAAAACAATGCACACAGCGAGGACACATCCAGATTCGTCAATCTGGGTTTGCACTCAAAGTCGTGAAGTACTTGACCTAAATTGAATTTGTATTGTGGACCGGTGATGAATTCAGTTTTGCTAATAACAAAAACTTGCCATGGATACTTTATATACCTATCTGATCCACAGTCTATAGATATAAAATTATGATTTCGAGATTGGGGTGAACTTATGTTTCGATCTTTCTTTTGAAGACTAAATCTACTTAGGTAATCTTAGGTGCAAATAAAATTCTACTTAGGCGTCACGAACTGACGCCTAAGTAGAATTCTATTTGCGCCAGATAGATTATGCATTCCAAATTCTAGTCTGGAACTGTTGGAAGACAAAAATCATAATCCACTTGGGCGCAAAAAGAATTCTGCTTAGGCGTCACGAACTGACGCCTAAGTAGAGTTCTATTACTATTTGCGCCTTATTAGACCATGTCTTCCAAATTCTAGTCTGGGGCTGTTGGAAGACAAAATTCATAGTCATAATCTACTTAGGCGCAAATAGAATTCTAGTCTGGGGCTGTTGGAAGACATAATTCATAATCCACTTTGGCGCAAAAAGAATTCTGCTTAGGCGTCACGAA